TCGATGAGGGCAGCCGGCGATCGCTAAAGAAAAACCTGGAAGCGGAAATCGCGATGGGCAACCCGGAAAAATCTCGAAGCGGAGTTCTTGATCCATCGAGACTAACATATCGGTTTAAATAGAGGCCACCGTCGGGAACGAGGATTATTCAGTTAACGAATCGAGTTGAGCGAAGACAGAGTCCAGCCAAGTTGCGCCGGAATTATTTTGTACATAATCGCTGTATAATCAGTTGTGTAAATTCGATTTATTAAGAAATAAATTGTTGAGTTTTAAACACGCCGATTTTAATTACCCGTTCAACGTAACAGTATGTTAGAAACATCATGTAGATGGTTAAATGCTAATTGAATGTTATACAAAAATATATTCCTATACTTGTAGTATATGAATCCGCTTTCAGTTTTTTCGCTAAATGTTCAAATTTTCGATAAAAACAATTGTAAGGTATAATAACGTTATATTACCAATCCGAAATATATGAGCTCGTGGCTCAGTGGCTCAGCGGCTTACTCGGCGAATTTGACCCTTCCCTTTTTTTCTTGTACTGGTAATTTTTTTTTGTGGTGTGACTATTATTATACATATTGATGACGTGATCACAAATTTTTTATGGGTCAAATTAAAAATGAGCCGCTCACCCCATTTTCCCGAAAATGTGAGATGATAATAATGATAAAATAAGAATTATAATGTTCATAACATTTTGTTCGATTCTGGTTTAATTAATAATTTTAGTCATCTGTTTAGAGAAGACAAACTCATTCAAATCAAACTAATTTCTACGTGACATTCTTTCGACGTATAAACGTAAATAAACACTTCGGATTGCTATTATCTAGTGCTGAAAGACATTTTATCCCGTTAATTATGTGCTTTAAATACATTTTACATTGTCCGTATGGCGCAGCGGCTGCGGGGGTGTTATTTATGCCGCCGGTTTTTACTTTACAGATGAGGTTATCACAAAACGAATATCGTAAAATCAAATTTTGTAATTTTTTAAAGAGGTGGATTTATCGGAATATATTTGTAGCCTTCGACCAATTTTTTATTGATCGAATTAAGAACCTCATTTTCTAGAAAATATGAGAATACCCATGTCTTTATTCAATTATGATCAAATAAGAATAATAACCATATTCAAAATATTTTGTTCCATTATGAGTTAATTAATCATTTTAGTCTTCTGTTTTGGGGAGACAAACTCATTCAAATCAAACAAATTTTACATAACATTCTTTCGATATATATACATAAACAATCGAAGTTAAGGATATCCACTGATAATAAAGCACTTTTGGTTGTTTGCTTTGAATATATGTATTTCATATTGTCCGCATGTCTACGGACGGCACCTCCTTAGAATTTGCGCTCCCGCGGCGCACGGGGTTCGAGGTGTCATTTACACCACTGGTTTTTACTATACCGGGTGTCTGGAAAATGACAGATTAACTCTTTGTGTTTCGGGGGTCCCAAAAATATAATAAAAAAATTCTTTATGATGTAGATTACGAAAAAAAATGTTATTTTATAAAAGTAAAATTGGCAACACTGCACACACCTAATGCATGATTACCGCCGGCTTACTTTCTAAGAAAAGAGATAGGGTGGTTGAGCGGGATTAGTGCTACCTTGTTAAGATAAGACTGATTTTGGCAAAGGAGATATCCCCTAATAAAAGAGAGGGTGGGTGGGCGGGGCTAGTACCTGCTAAGATAAGAGTGATTTTAGCAAATGACGTATCCTCTAAGAAATGTAAATAAATTAAAAAAAAAGACACTAGAGGCCCCAAAGCAATTTGGAATTCTTTCCAAACAGGAATACCTAGAACCTCAAGATTGTTTTTTTCAAAAAAAAAGGCCCAAGATTAACTCAAAAACAGTTCAGGTCAGAATTTTCCAAAAATAGAACACCAAAGTCCCCCAAAATTGTTTTAAATAATAATTTACAAAAAAAATCTCCATGGGTTCCTAAAATAATACACTATGAGTACTCAACAGTCTCCCGAATTAAAAAAAAAACTGCGACACTCGGGACTTTTTCAAATTCGTAAAAAACTAAAATATCAAAAGCTCAAAAGATTTTTTCAAGTTCATCCAGATTCCTTTAAATTTATCCGGGCGACCTACAATTAACTGCGAACATTTTAGACGTAGGGTTTTGAAAACTTATAACGGGCTTACTAGCCCTATATCCTAATATACTTCAGTTTTTAGGAATGTATAGTTTAAGAAAAATAGCTTGACTGTTTTATCAAAACGGGTGACCTACTTTTTCATATTCTGTGAGCTCTGAAACGTCGAGAAAAAATAAAATTGATCCTGGACTCTATGTAGGTATGGCAATACGTTCCTAACGTATGTCGAGTAGTAAAAATATATAAAACTTAAAATAAAAAAACTCCAATCCAGTCTGTAAAATTGGGGTATTTTTAATATTCCACTACATAAAGCATGCTGAAACGAAATTTCTTGCAATACTTAAATAAATGTTACTGTTTAGTTGTGACATCCACATCTAGCTTTTCCAAGAATGAAACTTTGATAATGCTATTTATGTCACATATCAGCGTTTAAGTGTTTTGTTTAAAATAATGTGTAACTACTATCAGACACAAATTTTACCCGGTTTGTTGCACTAAATTTACTACATATACATTATCTACAATTCTTGTGTACGTGTTTGTAAAATTTGGTGTCAAAAAAAAAAAAAAGATAAGTGCAGCAAGCTAGTTGGAGCGACTGAAGCTCGAGACTCTTTTCTATATGTGTGTATTTAAAGTATGCAGTTGTAAATTTTTAACTACAAATGACATAACCTTGACAGAACTGAATGATAATAAAATATAACTGGTCTCCTCTGTTTTTCCGTACGCCACTGCATCGCAATTTATAACTGTCCGCTTCTACTTTTATCAAAATCATAGTTGTTTTTGCCGTCCATTTAAAAATTCCTATCGGTTCTAATTAAGAGTCGCTGCGTACACACATCCTTATCATGGCGTTACACAAACAGATTTTTCCAAATCCGCGGGAATTTTGTAATAGGGTTATCCGCCTGAGTGCAGGCATATCGCTCCTTTCAAGGACATCCATCTGCAGTAATCGCCAGTCTTGGCGGTTTTTGTGAAGATCCGACGATTTAAGTAGAAGGAGCAGATTGCTTTATCGCAAGTAAGGACAAAGATGGTAACCACGGTAACGGTTGACCTGCTGCGATTGGCTACTAGAAAACTGTCAATAGATACCGCCCACGTCCTATGTGACAGGACTCCCTCCCTCGCAGGATAATCAGGTAACCGCTCGAGATCGTCGAACTAATTACAAGTCAACAGGTGCACGGACTATAGCATGTTTATGTCGCTCGGTTATCTTATCAGCGATCGATACCGGCCGGCGCAAAGTGGCCCTAATTGCTAGAGAAAAATCGGCCGCTGAGGGCGCCACTATCACTATCCCCGATCGCCCCGACAAAGCTTTTTTTAAAATTTTGACGTCGCATTGATTTTTTTCCTAGACGGCTTTGAATTGAAAACAAGACCAAATGAAAAGTGTCAATCAACCACGCTGCTCTTTGTATGGGATGTCAAAGGTTGAACAGATAAAAAGTTCATTTCCTTTTATAAACATGTTTATTATTCAACGACGCTCGATTTTCTTTTACGCTCGGTTTAAAACGTCACTTTTTCCTGCACCCTGTGCATCTTCGTATCGGGACTCGCCCATTTCGTGATAATTAAGAAGTGTTTATTATTCACAAACTTTGCACTTTGCGGCCGCTGCAGCTGGGCGCTAATTCTTTTCTCTTTTCTCCTATCTTTGCCCTGTTCGGTGCTAAGTGCTATCGTTAGCTGCAGCGCACCTGAGCCATCGAAGTTGATTGCATAATCAAGCTAAAATAACCGAAAGCTTCTTTGTTGGAGGGGAGAAGCTTTGATTCCACAGTAACGACACCACTCTCTTATTTTTATTCATTTTTTATAAACCACCCTATATCATCAAGAACTCACTAATTACTAAATTCCCCTATAATGTAAACAAATAGATCATTTTTATACCTGAATCCTCGACTACCTCACTTACAATGACCCCCTCAATCGGTAACACTTTTTTTGTCACACAAGCGCAAATAACACACAATCGTCAGGTTCGTTAGAAAGTACACGGATGGCCCTGTTCAACGTTTGACGACCAACTTCTATATTTCCATTTTAACCCGAGCATACTGCGTCATACAGACCCGTGGCAAAAATAGTATCACTAGTTAGATGATAACACCAAAATCCCCATTGTCAGTATCATTATCGTCCTTGCTTGACCTTGTCGAAAAACGAAGGTTTTTCCTTGGATGTTTACAGGACGTTTTATTCGGGACATCACATCAACAAGTGATACTCGTAACAAACAAGCACGCTGGATTTAAAATTCCGCTCCCAATTTATAAATAAATAATTTGTTTTTGAAAACAACGTCTATTAATATTTTGATGATAAATGTAGATGTTAAAATTTTTGACAAACGTTGATTGATATGTCGGAACATCGTCTACCTGAGTGGAGACGGGTCTACGTCATTCTTATTCAATTGTTGTTGAGCAGTTTGGTCAAAAATATCTCAAAATGATTAAAATTTGTGTACTTACCTTTGGCATTTTGACAATCTGTGTCAAAACGGGTGTTATTAAAATCACAGTTACGTGCTCTGAAGATACGATCTGCGTCCAAAACATACGAAAAATGCAACGGAACTTGTGTTTTGCGACTTTGAATCTTCCGAGATAAGGGTCCTTGCTACACCTACAAGAATTCCGCTCAATAAACGGTTTGTTCAACCTGTGTTGTGTGGGCAGCTTTGAGCTACAATACCGACACTGTCACTTTTTTTACGCTGATTGACACCTCTTTATTATGATTGAAAAGAGTTGTTGGTTTGATTTCTCGGGTTTGAGGTTAGGTTTTGGGTGAAAATGAATGGGGGTGAGAATGACAAGCGAAAATATAAATACAGTCATTTTTATTTATTTTACTATTCATTATATACACGATTTGTTACAAACATAAAGAAATCCCGAATAAATGTACTATGATTAAAATCGACTATAATCATCGATATTGGCACTGGCCTTTGTTGAAGCCAAATATATTCTAATTCACGTTTTTCTTTTTTATACTTCTAAGACTATAAACATAACTTTTTATAAGAAATATCAATAAATAAGTGAGTAAAACATTTTATTTTAAAAAGTAAAATTGCACTAAAAACTATACTATTTTGGACTAAAACATGAGACATTTGATGTTCTGAAAACTTAACTAAAATCAACACTTATGGCTTTCGATTTTGATTATTGGTTGATATAAGAGAGATAGTCTAAGTACGAATTTTCGACATTAAGTAAAATACTTTACAAAAAACTGGCCATCTATCGCAATAAGAGAAGATAAATATAAAAATAAGTGAAAAGTCATAACAACAATGATGATAACAACTAATAACAAACAACTACTTAAACCATAAAAAACAAAGTGAACACTGACTAAATTGAAAAATCAAAACAATAATAACGTTTCTCATGAGAAAAACCTACGTATTTACATATCGTACAAATTCCAATAAAATATATTACTAATACACATTTATATACGTGGTAAAGTATTACATTTCCACTTCAAACTGATTCGTTTTCATATAAAAAGGAACATGTATTGATTCGAGCGTACTCGAATTTTTTTGGCAAAGTGATATCAGGTTGACCTTTACATCTTTGATATGTGAATCGCAATATTCGTCATAGCCAAAACAGCTATTCCATCTCGCACTGCCACCAAACACTTGTCATGGGATATCACTGGAAGTCTAAGTCGAACCTGCTTCCGTACGAGTTTTGACTAGTACACCTAGTACAGTTTCAAGTATCACATATACGGCCACGAAAACGAGCTTCCAGAGAGTAACATGTCTCTAATCAAGGTCTCGATAGGAGTTTTTCCTACCAACCTTACGAAAAACAACTGTTCTATGACCGCAGAACTCACTGTCCGTAAACTGGGCAGTCGTAGCAGTAACTTTCCGAATCTAGTCGGCTGATTGGGGTACTGCGTCCGGCAGTACTCCTCCAGAGCACACTGCGACTTCTCCTGGATGGACTCGATATGGGCCACGTCGCTCAAACCGCACGCATCTGTAACAAAAACCAAATAAGAACATCGATTAGCACAGCGCAGGTTAGATCAGCATATTTTGCTGAACGTATAACTCGTGACGCAGCCGAAAACCGCTCAGCTGCCTTTTCGGGAAGACAGGATACGTTAGTCTGAGATTAATTCCCGTGATGGTCGATTTTTTGTATGATTTTGAAACGCGTGCCATTAACATAGCGGTTGTCGTCTAATTACATTTCGGGTTTAAAAATAGGCTCTTAAATTCTTGACCCGTGCTTAAGTTTGACATCTGTCTATAAATAAGCGCTTAATTGCAATTGTCTCGTGCTTGCGACTTTCTGATCTAAGCTGACGCATTTGATAGCATCTCTTGGAATTAATAGCGCACTCACCGACACGACTTTTCAAATTAAAGCGCAAATGCTAATTCAAATTTGTGCTCGTCAATTTTAAATGACAATCCAGACAATTAAAACTTGTTAATATAAAGTATTTCACGTTCAACTTTATGTTGTCGTGGCAGGATTGCAAAGTTTCTCTAATCCTTTCAATTGTTCATTTAGAAAGTTTCATTGGAGAGACGCCGAATATTAAGACGATATTTCTTAAAACTCCCTCTATTAGATTACATCGCGAGCCACTTTTTGTATTACAAAACCGTTCAATCGCGCTTCGTTCTTTCTTAATCACTACGTGTGATATTACGACATACATCTGTTTGTCTCGTATATCATTCGACACCATTGTTTGCTAGATCGCACACACGCCTCTCAAAATTATTTGCTTTTCAACTTTTTCCACCTTCTTTACACTCATTTCGTGAGTTTAAAGGTGTATTTAGCGAAATGGTTCAAACATCTGGGCCTTTATCCATTCACTCGAAATTTGTTGCGACCATTGTATAGTCATGGGCACAACTGAAGAGGCGGAGAACTCATTTTATGCTTTTCTTACAAATAAATGTCTTTAGAATCGTTACTGCTGCTCTATAAACCGTTTCCCGGCCGCCGAACAAATCATGACTGCTTGATCACTGATACCGGCAAAAGCCTCATTTAATGACATGTTAAATACCGTACAATAATGGCTTCCCAACGCTTTATAGCGGTATTATATCAAACAAATGTTTTATATAAAATCGAAGTCAATGACAAAAAATATTTTTAGTGGTACTGTGACAGTCAGTTGTTTCTGAGATTCTTTATTTTTTTACACAACCCGTTTTTTTCTGTAAATCGTTATGTCAAGAGAAACGATACACTTGTTTATACATATCTTGATAATTGTTCTAGACTTTTCACATGAGCATGGCATAATTCAAATTCAAATGTACGAAAAATTATCATTCTACGTCGTAGTGTTTCGTTTTGGTACGAATTTTGACAAATTATTCTGATAAATGTAGAATACAAAAGTTAACTTCTGATTATTATTGAGAATTGATTAAAAAAGTTAAAATACGTTTATTTATTCCTCCAAAAAACTGATGACGTCATCTCACACTACTATTTTAAATATTGAAATATTTTTTAAGCTCAATTATTTCAGAAACCGGTAACGTAAATTCTTTAAAAATTTTAGAACCATTGTAACGTACTCAATGGGTTTTTATATTCATAAATATTCTCAAATACTTATTTAATTGTGAATTGATAATCTACAGTTGTTTTTGTCGCTGTCAACTAACCACATTTCAGGGGCGGTTGGCACCTGTGATTTAGCGCTTAAAAAATTTAGACAGACCCCTGAAAGGTCGAAATTTTACTTAATTTAAAAGTATATAAAAATGGGATTCGGACACTGGTCCCTATGGATAATTTCCAATTTTCAGATGGTCCGCCCTGCTCATGGAGTAATTTGAAAGAATCGCGGCGACCACTTGTGCCTTGTTTTTGAAGTAATTTGAAAGAAACTCGGGGATACCTTGTGTTCTGTTTTTGCAGTAGTTTGAAAGATTCTCGGGAACCCCTGCGGGTTTTGTTTTTTAAGTAATTTGAAAGAATCTCGAGGACCCATTGCGTTTTATTTTTGAAGTAGTTTGAAAGAATTTCGGAGACCCTTTGTGTTGTGTTTGAAGTAGTTTGAAAGAATCTCGAAGACCCGTTGCGTTTTATTTTTGAAGTAGTTTGAAAAAATTTCGGAGACCCTTTGTGGGTTTTGTTTCTGAAGTAATACGAAAGAATCTCTGGAATCCCTTGTGTTTTGTTTTTGAAGTAGTTTGAAAGAATCTCAACGAGCTCCTGTGGGTTTTAGTTCTGATATAATATGAAAGAATCTCGGGGACTCCCCGTAGGTCTTGTTTCTGAAGTAATATGAAAGAATTTCGGGGGTCCCTTGTCTTGTTTTTGAAGTAGTCTTAAATAATCTCGCTGAGCTCATGTGGGTTTTTTTTTCTGAAGTAATATGAAAGAATCTCTTGGATTCCTTGTGTTTTGTTTATGAAGTAGTTTGAAAGAATCTCGGGGGTCCCTTGTCTTGTTTTTGAAGTAGATTGAAAGAATCTCGGGGACCTCCTGTGGATCTTGTTTGTGAGGTAATATGAAAGAATCTCGGGGATCCCCTGTGGGTCTTGTTTCTGAAGTAATATGAAAGAATCTCGGGAATTCCTTGTGTTTTGTTTTTGAAGTAGTTTGAAAGAATCTCGGGGGTCCCTTGTTTTGTTTTTGAAGTAGCTTGAAAGAATTTCGGGGACCTCCTGTGGGTCTTGTTTCTGAAGTAATACGAAAGAATCTCTTGAATTCCTTGTGTTTTGTTTTTGAAGTAGTTTTAAAGAATCTCCGGGAGCTCTTGTGGGTTTTGTTTCTGAAGTAATATGAAGAATCTCGGGGGGTCACTTGTCTTGTTTTTGAAGTAGCTTGACAGAATCTCGGGGGTCCCTTGTCTTGTTTATGAAGTAGTTTGAAAGAATCTCGGGGGTCCCTTGTCTTATTTTTGAAGTACTTGAAAGAATTTCGGGGGTCCCTTGTTTTGTTTTTGAAGTAGCTTGAAAGAATTTCGGGGACCTCCTGTGGGTCTTGTTTCTGAAGTAATATGAAAGAATCTCGGGGATTCTCTGGGGGTCTTGTTTCTAAGTTAATACGAAAGAATCTCTTGAATTCCTTGTGTTTTGTTTTTGAAGTAGTTTTAAAGAATCTCCGGGAGCTCTTGTGGGTTTTGTTTCTGAAGTAATATGAAAGAAACTCGGGGGGTCCCTTGTCTTGTTTTTGAAGTAGCTTGACAGAATCTCGGGGGTCCCTTGTCTTGTTTATGAAGTAGTTTGACAGAATCTCGGGGGTCCCTTGTCTTATTTTTGAAGTAGCTTGAAAGAATCTCGGGGGTCCCTTGTCTTGTTTTTGAAGTAGATTGTAAGAATCTCGGGGATCTCCTGTGGGTCTTGTTTGTGAGGTAATATGAAAGAATCTCGGGGATCCCCTGTGGGTCTTGTTTTTTAAGTAATATGAAAGAATCTCTGGGATCTCTTGTGTTTTGTTCTTGAAGTAGTTTGAAAGAATCTCGGGGGTCCCTTGTGTTGTTTTTGAAGTAACTTGAAAGAATCTCGGGGGTCCCTTGCCTTGTTTTTGAAATAGTTTGAAAGAATCTCGGGAACTTATTGTGGGTTTTCTTTCTGAAGTAATATGAAAGAATCTCGGGAATTCCTTGTGTTTTGTTTTTGAAGTAGTTTGAAAGAATCTCGGTGGTCCCTTGTTTTGTTTTTGAAGTAGTTTGAAAGAATTTCGGGGACCTCCTGTGGGTCTTCTTTCTGAAGTAATATGAAACAATCTCGGGGATCCTCTGGGGGTCTTGTTTCTAAGTTAATACGAAAGAAACTCTTGAATTCCTTGTGTTTTGTTTTTGAAGTAGTTTTAAAGAATCTCCGGGAGCTCTTGTGGGTTTTGTTTCTGAAGTAATATGAAAGAATTTTGGGGGGTCCCTTGTCTTGTTTTTAAAGTAGCTTGACAGAATCTCGGGGGTCCCTTGTCTTGTTTATGAAGTAGTTTGAAAGAATCTCGGGGGTCCCTTGTCTTATTTTTGAAGTAGCTTGAAAGAATCTCGGGGGTCCCTTGTCTTGTTTTTGAACTAGATTGAAAGAATCTCGGGGACCTCCTGTGGGTCTTGTTTGTGAGGTAATATGAAAGAATCTCCGGGATCCCCTGTGGGTCTTGTTTTTGAAGTAATATGAAAGAATCTCTGGGATCCCTTGTGTTTTGTTCTTGAAGTAGTTTGAAAGAATCTCGGGGGTCCCTTGTGTTGTTTTTGAAGTAACTTGAAAGAATCTCGGGGGTCCCTTGTCTTATTTTTGAAGTAGCTTGAATGAATCTCGGGGGTCCCTTGTCTTGTTTTTGAAGTAGATTGAAAGAATCTCGGGGACCTCCTGTGGGTCTTGTTTGTGAGGTAATATGAAAGAATCTCGGGGATCCCCTGTGGGTCTTGTTTCTGAAGTAATACGCAAAAATCTCTGGAATCCCCTGTGTTTTTTTTTAAGTAGTTTGAAAGAATCTCGAGGAGCTCCTGTGGGTTTTGGTTCTGATGTAATATGAAAGAATCTCTGGGATCCCTCCTATTTTGTTTTTGAAGTAGTTTGAAAGAATATCGGGGTCCCTTGTCTTGTTTTTGAAGTAGCTTGAAAGAATATCGGGGGTCCCTTGTCTTGTTTTTGAAGTAGATTGAAAGAATCTCGTGAACCTCCTGTGGGTCTTGTTTCTGAAGTAATATGAAAGAATCTCGGGGATCCCCTGTGGCTCGTTTCTGAAGTAATATGAAAGAATCTCGGGGACCCCCTGGTGGTCCTGTTTCTGAAGTGATATGAAAGAATCTCGAGAATCCCTTGTGTTTTGTGTTTGAGGAAGTTTGAAAAAATCTCAGGGCTCCCTTGTTTTGTTTTTTGAAGTAATTTGAAAGAATCTTGGCGATCCCTTGTCTTGTTTTTGAAGTGATTTGAAAGAATCTCGGGGATCCCTTGTGTTGTATTTTTTAAGTAGCTTGACAGAATTCCAACTGGAATAATTTGAAGACTCTGAAGGATCTAAATTTTACTTTATTT